AATTTTAGCTCTTGTTCCAATTGACAAAAGACAAAGTTGTTCCATTTCATTAATTTCTGATGGAAGTGAGATATTTCCTATCCTAGCTTGTTAAAGAAAAAGGAAGATCATATCATGTTATAGTTAAGATTAGAACAAACTTCATTTATGGCCATCTGCTAGAAATTAATATCAGCCGCCAGCCACAAATTGCAATATGCATTTTCGGCCCAAAATGGTTTAGCCGGAAAGCTTCACCGGGAAATTCACGGTCACCGGAATTGCAAATAGCAAGCAAACCATCTTTTAGATCTAGATTTTCATAATATCAAAAAAGCCCCAAAAGCAATAAATAAAACGGGAAGAAAGAGTAGACGGATTTAATGGAGAGTCACTGGTGTTTGAGTTTGCGTCCAGATCTAAAGCCAACGAGATCTAGCACACAGTGGGTTACATTGACTGGGTTTTGATTTCGATTTCATAATTTGTGGTGAGGTCGAAGCTGGAGCCTGGGGACCATTAATATTAATACTACAACGGCTGAGATTTGATAAATCTTGTATTCAATTCATTGAAACCTTCCATTTCATCATAAGTCAGCAGTGTCTTTTCTGATCATTGTCATTTTCTCTTTGTAATCTGTTTCAGAGTGTTCGCTCCCATTTGGCCTCCAAGTATCAATTACTCTCCCAATCCTCTGTTGCAACTCGTACATATCAAACATGAATAGTTTATCAATCTCTTTTTTGGACCAGCTTTTTCATAAAAAATTGTATATGAGGCTAACATTTAAAAGTCATTTTAGATTATATATTAGACCGGAGAGCATTTCTTTTGAATATTGGTATATTACAAAATATATATACAAAATAGACAGTCAGTATACAAAAATTATACAAAATAGACTATCACTATACAATTTATATACAATAGATTGTCACTATATAAAATATATACAAAAATAGACTGTCATTATACCAAAAGTATACTAAATAGACCGTCACTATACAAAATATATACAAAATTGATTGTCACTATACAAAAATATACTAAATAGAATGTCACCATACAATAGACTGTCACTATACAAATTATATACAAAATAGACTGTCACTATACAAATTATATACAAAATAGACTGTCACTATACAAAATATATACTAAATAGGCAATCACTATACAAAAAAATATACAAAATAGACTGTCACTATACAAAATATATACAAAATAGACTGTCACTATACAAAATATATACCAAATAGGCAATCACTATACAAAAAAATATACAAAATAGACTATCACTATACAAAAAGTATACAAAATGAACATTTTGGGCTATTAGATGTAATATATTTGGGTCGGATGACTATTTTGTGTCAATGGCCAAAAATATGGGCTACTAAAATTTTGAGGGGCTATATAGGGTAGTTAGATGGAAGTTTTACCTCATATAGCAAATGTTAACACCTTATTTATTTTAAATAAATACCATTTAAAAAAATTATATTCTATAGATACCTTTTAAGGTTTATAGCAAAATATTTAATTTTGGTTACCTCCTAGCCCTAAGCCACTAAATACACTAATCAGTTACATTATTTTCTTTCTCTCTCTACTTTGATACATCTCATTCTCTTCCCACATCCCATTAAAATTTCCGATCTCCTCCTCCTTCCACCGGATTTGTGCAAAGTATGAAAGATTCAAAAGGTAACCAAACACTTTATTGGTGATATTATATGCAAGTATGAAAGATTCAAAAGGTAACCAAACACTTTATTGGTGATATTATATGCAAGTATGAAAGATTCTAAACAGTTTGGGTCTATGTCTTCTATGAATTTGCCGCCAATAAAGGTTCATATTAAGGAGAATCAAAAGGGTGGAAATTTTGATGAGCAATTTTCACATATGACTCTTAGGGTAGTGAAGCAGAAGCATGAGGAAGGAGGATTTGTGGATTTATCTTCGCCGCCTGCGACGGCTGTTTTAGTGCCAATGACAGAATGTGTCAATTCCAGATCTTATGCAAATTCTGTGGAATATGAACATTTCAGCATATGAATTGCCGTGGAAAAATCAATTCTTTTCTACAAATTTATTGAAGTCCTAGAGCACCATTCTGCATCAGTTTTAATCAGATACATACACCTGCAAGTGTCGTATTGTGCCCTCATCAAGACTAAACTCTTCCTTTTGCCCAAAGCCGAGACATATATACAGTGAGTCGTGCATTTGAGTGAATTTTCTAATGGTTGCTGCACATTTTGTTGAGGTCTTGACATATACTTCTCTTGGTAGTCCATCTGATTTGCCTTCCCCTGATTCAGTTTCAAATCAACTTCATCAATCCAGAGCAATTCTACGTGACATCAACGCAATAACTTTATCTTTCGCGATGAAGAAGAACATTTCTTTTAATATATTTCAATGTAATTTCAACGTATTACGCTGTATTTTCATGTATTTCATTGTATTCATTGTCTTTTTTTTAATTGTAATTCAATGTATCTCGTTGTATTCCATGTATTTTATTGTATTCTCTGTTTTTTTTTTCATTGTAGTTCAATGTATCCCACTGTATTCTATGTATTTCATCGTATTCACTGTCTCGCTATATGCCATGAATGTATTCATAAGTTTTTTTTAATTAATATAATTTATGTATTCAGATGTATTATATAATTTCTCTGAAAATTGCTATGTTTATGGGATATTTTTCAGTTGAGAATCTTTTTTATAACTGAAAATACAAAATTTGTGTTATAATTGAGTTTGTTGAGTTATATTAGGAGTCTATTATGTTAATTGATTCACTTCCCATTCTAAAAACAGTGTAATCCCCTATTTCACGCCGTGAATACAGTCGAATACAATAATTTGTCCAGCTGTAATCCCATGTTTCACTCCATGAATACAGTCGAATACACTCGAATACAACAACTGATTAGCTGGACTTCCCTGATTCATGCCTATTTTTACTACTGTATTCATGAATACAATAGCTTAAATACATCAAATACAACTTATAACCACATAAAAGGTATCTATAATCCGTAATATAGCAAATGGTATCTATATATGGCTAATTACTACTAAAAGATAGTGCTTTATGAAAATTTCCCTAGTTAGATTATGTGACACTAAGAGCCTGTTTGGCAATGAAACTTTTTCACTTTCTCCGATTTTTTTTTTTATTTTTTTCGAAATAAGTGTTTGACCATAAAAATTTTAATTTTCACTTGAAAATGAATTTTGGAATTTTTCAAAAATTTGAAAAACTCCAAAAAGTTGTTTTTCAAAATTTTCACTAAGATCACTCGCAAAAATTCAAAAACAACCCAAAATTATATTCATGTCCAAACACAACTCTTATTTTCAAATACCATTTTCACTTAATTTTTTTTTTTTTTTTTTTTTTTTTTTACTTTTTTCGAAATTTTACGATTCTTATGTCCAAACGCCCACTAATATNTTGCGACGAAATAAGGTAAAATAGTCAAAATAGCTATATTAGACTCAATTCAAATATTAACGTTTTGTAGCCCTCTTTTTTTTTTTTTTTTTTTTTTTTTTTTTTTTACTTTTTTCGAAATTTTACGATTCTTATGTCCAAACGCCCACTAATATTTAGCTTTTTGAAATGTTTAGTACAAGCATCGTGTCATATACAAATGTAGTAAGTAGAACTACCAATCATTTTAGATGGAACGGGAATTATTTATATCCACTTTTGAGTCATCCCAACGTTAATTAAATGATTCAATATGTCAATTCAATAAACAGGAGTTTAGAGGTCATAATTTCAATTTACTTTTATTACTAGTTCGAATTTCTATAATTTTTGATGACATGGTTTAATAAGTCTTTGTTACTTTCTTTCTTAGTGAATTCAATTATACGTTTTTAAAATAGTATAAATAAAATTATATATACATAAATAATTCAACATAACTCAGTGTTTTGAAATTGAACTCAATATAAATATGCTTAAACAGTTAAATTGTACTAATATGCATTTTTGAATGCTCTCTTAAGACAATGCCTTACCATCAGATGGGTTCGAGGTTCTAGTACTTTCAAGTTACTGGATTCTAAATTAATAATTTATATATATTCAATAAATTTTTTAAGACAAATACATGGGGTGGACCAAAACAGCTGAATTAGACCGAACCCAAACCCATACTTAATAACAAACAATTGCTACTCTACTTTTTATTATCAAATTAGTTTGGATAAGATATATTCATCATATGATAAATACTAATAAATGTTTGGATCCAAAGAATAAAGGCGTTATATGCAGCTGTCACTCAAGAAACAAAAGATCAAAAGCTATCTGCTATCCTAGTCAAGAAAGATAATGCATTATTTGGGGAAGTGTCACAATATACGGGTCTATTACGCAACTTTATCCTATATTTTTATAAGACGATTCGAATTCGTGACCTCCTGATCACATGATAATAACTTTATCAACAACTTACTATGTTTGATGAGATATGCAATTTATATTAAAATTAATTTTTGAAATTTGTGAACGGAAATGAGTTGCATCAACTTTTGCGAGGATATAAATGGATAAAACTAAAATTAAATTATTTTTAAATAATTATGTAATGATGTAGACGTTTGACCACGCATGAAGTTTTAAAAAAAAGACTTTTAAAATTTATAGTCTAAAATAAAATATAAATATTGCATGATTTTAAAATAATTAATTAAGGTATAGTAAAAATATTAAAGATAAATTATTTTTAAATAAGAAAAGATACATAAATAGACATGGATGGAGTAATATAAATATTTGAGACTGATTAAAAAACTTTTGTATTATTTTAATAAGACTATGATATGATATGAGTTAAGTTTAAAGAAAGAAATGAGATTTATGTACTTAATACTAACTTATTTAAGATTGGGTAATTATTATTGTTGTTGTTGGCGGACGGAGTAACCTTTTGTTTTTTGTTTTTCTTTTTTCCGCTTAAAGTTTACTATATATATCTCTCCTCCTTGTAACTTTCCCAAAGGCAAAAAAAGTTTTCCCCATTTTCATGAACCAGCTGCAGACCAAGTTTGAAAGAAAAAAACCCTCAAAAAATGGAAGGATTAAAAGTAGATAAATGGGGTTATGAAGTAAAGACCAATTCTGATTCTTGCATATCTTCCATTAATTCTTATTATCATCAGGTACATACCCTTTTCATATCTCTTTAATTTTTATCAGTTTCAGCAAAAAAGATTAGATTTTTTTGTTTATATTGAGTTAATGTGAAGTGTATAACTTCTTACTGTATTTGAACTTTGATTTCTTGAGCTCAGGTACTTAGTTATGGAAGAGAGAGGTCAGTAATATTAGAAGCACCAAAACAAGACCCAAATTGTGTTTTGGCTAATATTTTAGCTGCTCATTATCTTTCCTCTGCTGATTCTTCACGTGCTATGCCTCTTCTTGAAGCTGCTAAGTCTTATCTTGTACAGTTTTATTAACTTTTGTTTTTCGCATATTTTGGTAATTTTCATTTATCTTTTTGTATTTTTGGGAGTTTAGTTTTACTTATGTCTTGTTAATGTTTGTTGTTTAGGAACAAGCTAGCTTGTATGAGAAGGTAGTTTTTGATGCAATCAATTGTTTGATTTCACCAAATAGAGATGATGATGTTGCTGTTGAACTACACTTTAAGGTGGGTTCTTTTTTTGTTTCTTTTTTTGCTGCTTGTTTGAAGTGTTCTTCTTTTTCATAGATTTGGTTATTTTTAAGTTTTATTCATTTCTGCTGATATTTATTTATGGGGTCTTATCAGCTTTTGATTATCGATAGTTGTAATAGTTACAATTTGCTAGTATGTTCAATAAAACATAGTGTGTCAAATTATTCTATCCATTCTTTATTTTCTTTTGACAACTCTTTTCGTTATGTAAGTCCTAATTCAATTTAATCTTGAAAAGTTATGCTCTGATGAATTCACATTCGGTCTTCGTTGAATCTGAAAATAATGTGTCATATCTGCTTTGGTTGGTCTGTGGCGTAATTAGCGAAAATATTACTTTAAAACCATAAGGATAATAAGATGGACTAATCAAAAAGCAGACAGGCATGGTCGGATGGATAATAGGCAGTGTCATCATTTATGATCTTTGGCAAAATCTCTTGATTGATAATGATAATTCATTACCTATTTGCAGCTGCTTAAGGATTTCCCAAGAGATCTGGTCTCTCTTAAAAGGGCTCAAGTGCTTTGTTTCTACATGGGTTGCCCTGATTTGTCTCTGAAACTTGTTGAGCAGGTTCATAATTGAATATCGCCTTGATGTCTTCCTTAATTTCCTAGGCAATATAAAAGAAATAAATAACTTGTGCCTGACATAATATCCAGAGATTTAATAGGAGTGACTATTGTAGTCATTTCCATATAAATGAATTCAGGTTTCTTGAATTTTGTCTACAGGTCCTATCAGTAAATAAACAAGAAAGTTACATTTATGGCATGCTCGCTTTTTCCCTATTAGAACTTGGTCGATACACAGATGCAGAAGAAGCTGCAAACAAAGGCTTTGAGATTGATAGTGAAGATGCCTGGACACATCATGCTGTGAGTTACTCTTTCCTTTCTAGCTGATATCTGCTAGTGAAACGGCTAATATTAGTTGGATTGGCTGAAGAAATCGTCTAAATACATGCAAATATGTTGGCGGCTGGAGGAAATTCATTTATTCATTCAATGATATTTTTACTTTTCTCATGACAATCTCCTTGCAGCTCTGTCATGTTTATCAGTACAAGTGTCGTTTTAAAGAAGCAGTACAATTTATGGAGAAGTGCTCAAGAACCTGGAGTTCTTTGTCATCTTTTATGTATGCGCAGAATCCGATACTATTTCAGCTTTGAATTTTATAATTTTTAAAAGCTAACCATTAGGATATTGCAGGTATACACACAATTGGTGGCACGTCGCACTTTGTTATTTGGAAGGTCATTCTCCCATGGAAAAAGTAAGAGATGTGTATGACCAGAACATCTGGAAAGAGTTGGAAAGAAGTGATGCCTCTCCAGCTGAAGTAAGTTAGTGGTTTGTAGTCAAACAACTTCTTTCAATAATACTTGCTGAGAGTTGCAGTGTTCTTGGAAACATGCAGGTGTACTTGAATGCTGTTGGTTTGCTACTCCGGGTATATGTACGAGGTGGGATTAATGTCTTTGGGGATCGTTTGAAGATCCTAGCTGATTGTCTCACAAATAAAGTGAGTTCAGGTGCAGAAGCATATTAATTTCTCTTTTTAGGTTACACCATAATTGCATGTGTATGCACTTTAGTTGGAGTTATGTAGATCTTTCCTATATTAGAAGTGAAAAATCAGCTAAACAAGCTAGCACCTTTAACTAGTCAAAGACTTTATGAAGAAATGTAGGAACAAATTTCATATATTTATGCTTTTCTGCAATGACCTTTAGTGATTTAAGTTACGCATCACTACGTGCTTTTGAGAAATCCCTCCCTTACCCCCTTACCAAATATAAAACTAAAAAGAAAAACTTCTATATTAGGCTTTCTGGCATCTTGAATGGCACCTGGATGTATTGGTGGTGTGGGCCCTATCTTGTACAGGCGAAGTTTCTAAAGCGGAAGAGTTACTCGAGGGTTTGAAATCCAGGTCAGAACAAATTTAGCCATTCTTTTCATTCATAGACCAGGCTATCCAACCACTCACTTTGAAAGTTTGTTCTTTTTCCTGTAGAATTTCCAACATGACCAAGAAAAAACAACAACATATGCAGCGAGCAATGCTGGTTTGTCCCTTTCTTTTTTCTTTTTCTTTTTTGTATTTACCAACTTCTGAATAGTTTTTTGGAGAAAATATACTCATACCTCGCAGTTTCTTTTCTCTTTCAATAGCATAGACTTTTTATTTTCAGAAGGTTTTTCCAATTGATTTTAGTACTATTTTTATGACTCGGCCTTTTAAAGTGACTCGGTCTATCACAAGTTTGAAATATTGATGCATCTATTAGTTGCTTGATTGATATATGATAGATAGAAACTGTTTCATTCACTTTAACTTTTTAATTCTTTCCTTATATATTATTTTAGCTTGCAGAAGCTCTATTTGAATATGGCAAGGGTGAAAATGAACGCGCGTTAGAATTTCTTGACGAGACATTTGATGCTATTAACTACAAGGTAGTTTGGGATGGCAGGGGGGAAATTCTATAGTTTATTTAGCATTATCTCTATTTTTTTCATGTATGATAAGTAAATACGACTTTGTGACAGATTATTGGAGCATCAGACGAACAGCTTGATGTTTTCAATGAAGTTTGGATCACTATGTTGTTAAACAGTGGTCAAGCTACAAAAGGTATACCATTTCAGTGAACCTCACCTTTTGCTTTTTTTTTTTCCTTTTTTTTTATTAGTACCTTTTGTTATACACTTAAAAGTGTCGTAGTCACTTATGCTTAAGTTGCGATTTTGGAACTCACAGCTATTCAGGCGATAGAGAAGCAGCTAAAGAAGAGGGAAGGAACCCCGTTCTTATGGCGCCTCCTGGTATGTCTTAGCTCTCTGCTCCATAATTTTGGCTTCTTAGCTGAATAGATTGTTCAGGAATAACTGCACTTTTCATTGCCATCTCTTAGGTTTTATCAATTGCCTCGCATAAAACCTTTAATCTTTTCTGACATGCCTCAACAAGACAAATTGACGATGAGGAATTACGGTTTAGTTTGACTTTAGTTTCTCCAAATTCTGCGGTAATTTTATGTAATAATATGAAGGTAAATGGAATAATGTACCAACAAAGAGTGTTCTTTCATGTATTATAAGTATCTACATATACATATTCCAGCTATAAAAATATCCCATGCGTCAATAATCTGTATTTAATGTCCTGATAAGTTTCTAACGACACAAAAGTTTGATGCGTCAATAACAATGCGCATTGCAGTCATCATCATTTGTTCTTCTTTCTCTCCACCGGTACATTCACACAACAATGCAGAGGAAGAGATTAAGTAAAGAGATTATTTTTGTGACAAACATTAGGAAAGAATTTAGACGAGTAAATAAAGTACCAAAGTGAATGTTCTCAAGTATGAAATATGTTTGGACATAGATCTCAAGGTTGCAATGTCCATAGATTCACCTCTTGGTAAAGGGCGCAAATATTGGAGATGCCACCAGAAGCCCAACATAAAACATGAAAGCAGATAATATGACGCCATTCTAAAAATGATTCAAATTAAAATCATCCATGTTTAACTTCAATGTTAAGCAGAACCTAGGAGGAAAGATCACAAATCACATAGATACGACAAGTAACCTGATTATTCGCAGCAGATACGTCATAACAAATAGTTCATATTATATCAAAGAAAAAAAAAGCAATAAAGATGCACCATCTTACACCCTACTTGCATCAATTCTAACTTTATCAAATACAAAGGCTAAATCTTTCTAATTATTTTTACCACTTTCTGGTCCAAACATAGGTTGAGTACAAACAATATCAAAATGGGTAGGCAAAACTTGTTAAAAAAAATATTATATGGAAATTCTCTAACAGACAAAACATCAACAAATAATGTATTTCTGTTAAGCATTTGAATTGGGAGTGATTTGAGCACAAGTTTCGTGGAAATAATTGAAGTACAACGTAAAATAACATCAAGGTATGCTCAGGTCATGTGGATCTTGAAAAAATAATTAAACACGTATCGCACATTCTTTAGGTGTTTCATTTTTTCAAGATCCACAGGACCTTGTGAGCAGCCTGCTGATGTTATTCTACATTGTACTTCAATTATTTCCACTGAATCTGTGTTCAAATCACTTCCAATTCAAAGGCTTAAAAGAAACACATTGTTTGTTAATGTTTTGTTTGTTAGAGAATTCCCGGATAATATTTGTTTTACAAGTTTTGCCTTACCCATTTTAATATTCTTTGTACTCATTCTATGTCTGGACCTGAAAGTTGGAAAGATTTGGCCTTTGTGTTTGATAAAGTTAGAATTGGTAAAAGAAGAGTGTAGGATAGTGCATCCTTATTGTTTTTTTTCTTTATTTAACCTAAACTATTTGTTTATGATGCATCTACTGCGAATTATCAGGTTATTTGTCGTATTCTATGTGATATGAAATCTTTCCTCCTTGGTTCTACTTTTCTTTAAAGTCATCATGATCTTGTTTCTGTTTGTTTGCAGGGGTGATTTTAATTTGAATCATTTTTAGGATGCCGTCATATTATCTGTTTTCATGTTTGGGCTTCTGGTGGCATCTCTAATATGCGTGCCCCTTTGTCAAGAGGTGAATCCATGTACATTACAAGCTTGAGATCTAGGTCCAAATATATTTCATACTTAAGAACATTCGCTTTGGCACTTAATTTACTGGTCTAAATGCTTTCCTATTGTTTATCTAAAAAACAATCTCTTTACTTTACCTCGTTATTTGCATTACTGTGTGAATATACCGGGGGAGAGAAAGTATGCGAATGATGATGACAAGAATGCACACCGTTGTTGACATATTCTGTGTGGAATGTGTCTCAGTTTTGAGGACTTTTTATTCAGAAGTTGCATCAAGGAATTAAAGCAAATCCATTTATGTATTTGTTGATTCAGTTTAGGAAAATAATAATTATTTCGGTTGTGTAAGACTGTTTAAAAACGAATGAAGTTGTGATTGTACTTTGCTAGTATTTTGGATACCCTTGGTTTCGGACCTTTTGGTTCAAGTGAAACTAGTTATAAATGTATACATATGCCCAAGTAAACAGTAAGAGATGTTCCTATGTTTTGTTATTGTTTACAGTTTTCTCTCGTCTGATTTGGATGTATTTGGTCCTAGTTTAAGTTTGGTCAAAAAAATTTGGCATTCTAGATTTAAGCATGTAGTTGTTCCTCTTGCTTATAAAATTCTTGTGACAAGACATTATCTGTGTAGACTTCGTTTTGCAAGATAGTAATTTTAGTCTTGTAAAAAATATGGATATCCGTGAGTTTATACGTACAAAAGATGGGCGGCTTGGGTTTTTTTCTACCCCATATTTGATCCAACCCGCCCATTTGCCAGCAGTCCAGCACTAGTCATGATTAGTCTCATTGGAAAAAAGTTGAAGTCCTGCAGTGTATCTAGAGGTGTCAAAATTGGCGTAGAAAAATATGACCTCTCCAAGGTTGGCCGGTCATTGACCTCTCCATTTGTTGAATTTAGTGCATCTAAAGTTGGGCTGATTTACTTTGCCAAAATATCTTTAATTTTTTTTTGTTTTGTTTTGTATGTTATATATGACCATAACAAAAGAAAAAAAAGCTTATTTGGTAATTAAACAATTCATAAGAAATAACACATATTAATTAAAGTTTGGTAAGGGCTGAGTGGGTTAGCAATGAACCAAGTTTTAGCCCATTTTGACCCACCTCATCGCAACCCAAGTAACTTTTTGAGCGGGTCAATGACTCGCCCATTTATTGATTTAGCCAATTTTGACCATCCCAAAATCAGCTAACCCGCCCATTTGACCCCCCCTAAGTGAAAAAAAAAAGGGCAGCCCGGTGCACTAAGCTCCCGCTATGTGCGAGGTCCGGGGAAGGGCCGGACCACAAGGGTCTATTATACGCGGCCTTACCCTACGTTTCTGCAAATTTCCACGGTTCAAATGAAATTAAATGGGGATATAGCTGCAGTCTTAATTGTGAATCTGAGGTGCAATTTCCTTTGGAGGACAATTTTTTCTATAAAAATTCCACCTTGTGATGTCAAAGGATCAGGCACAGACCTCTACCAGTATATTAGAGTCTAAAAATTAGACCTGAAGGCTTAGTACCTTACCATTTTTAAGAGCCTTGTATACTATATAGATTGAGAACTATATTATCAGAGGCAGTAAATTAGATTATCTTGTATTATTGTTGCTTCTTGGTGCAGGAAAAAGGTTATTCAATGTCAAGAAAGAAGGAAGCAATAGATGCAGGCAAAAAAGCTCGGGCATTGGAAGCGGCATACTTTGAATAATCAATCCAGCAGAGGAAGATAGCTATCAATATTAGTGATTTTCACTTCTTGTATTCCTCTTTTCTAGAATTTGAGTAGTGCTAAAATGTAAATTTTTTCCCTGTTGTATTTTATGAATAAAGCAGTGTCCCCTGAGCCAATTTTATCGTTGGAGGCTGGAGACACTCGTGCAGGTTAAAGATGTAAACTCTGAAATCTTAAATAATTGGACACAAGTTTAAGTTTTGTGTATCAACAGTACTGTAAATTGGAAAACAAAACAATAACATGTTGTATCCGTTTAAATTATTGACAATGTGAATTCTTTTAACATTATATACGTGTATATAAATTGAATCCGAAGACTTAACGTGCCACATGGTATAGTAGTTCTGATCCTTAAGAGTATCCCATGAGGTGCAATAATGTTGGCCAATAATTTTGTATTCTTTTAACTCAAGAGGTGACCTTACATTACTTGTTCCTTTTTGCCTGAATAACTTGCTTTTTCCCCCAACCTGCTCATTTTTGTAAATAGATAAAGTCAAATCCATGAGTGTAGATGTTTCCCAAAGATTCAAAACTTAGATGGCTCCACATTTTAGGTGAAAAGGACATGAAAATAGTGCAGTTTTGGTATGAAAAGAGCATCAAATACTATAGTTTTTCCTATAGAGTAGAAATGATAATTATAGTAGAAGGCGTTAGGGTAGACTGTTTACATTATATTCTTGAAGGACTAGAGTGCAGCACTGTCTACGAACCTTGTTCGAAAACGAGATACTTGGTGCACTCGGCTACTTTTTTTTTGATCCCATAGTTTAATATAAGTGTTTCCAAGTTAGCTTTGTTGCATGTCAAAGTGTGTGATAGACTAAGTTCCTTCTGTATATTTGAACCAACACTAATGGATAATTTTTTTATATTTTTAGATACGATCTCTATTGAGAAAAAGGGCTATCACAAGATCTTGTTTGAGCTTTGGGAGTAATAACTTTCTCAATTATCATCAAGGTAAAATCAAACAGCAAAAAGTAAATTCACGAGGGGTTGTGTATGTAAGAAACAAACACTAAAGAAAGTTGGATCTATTCNCCCCCAAAACCCCACATGTGCAATTCACATTTACACTTTTATTTTCAAGTAACTTGTGCACAACTGATTTTTCAATGAGATAATTGGTAGTACCTCATTAATACAAATATCGTGCACAGCTTTAACTATTATATTAGATATCCACTACCTCCCGCTAGTACAATTATAGTGCAGAATGCTACTATTCTATCAAATATCGACTACACACAAGTACCGATTAACTCTGTAACATGATGAACTTAGTCGATTAGACCTAGCCCATCAGGAACCACCATGTTACTAGAATTTGAAGTCCTCAATATACCACCACCACTTCCAACTCCTCTTGCCCTTCCCCTTATCCGTCTCAACTCTGCCACCACATCCCTTGAATCAGGCCGATCATCCTTATCGGCCGCTACGCACCGGAACGCGAGCTCCGCCACCGCACCAACCCCTTCTATTGCTTCTCCATCCACCACCAAAACAGGGTCCACAACTTGCTGCAACAACCCCATTTGGATTCTTGAAACTACCATATCAGCCAATGCCATTTCCCTCTTCTCCCTCTTTTGGTCCACAGCTTTCATCCCTGTTATTAATTCCAACAACACAACCCCAAAACTATATATATCACTCTTTTCATTCAATCTAAATGACTTGTGATAATCAGGATCCAAATAACCAGGAGTTCCTTGTGGACCTGTCCAAACTTCACCAGTAGAATCACCAGAAGCAACTGTTGCATCAGTACATACTAAGAGTCTTGAAAGCCCAAAATCACCAACTTTTACCCTCATATCTTTTTCAACAAAAATGTTGGTTGAAGTAATATCTCTATGTACTATAGGTGGAACAACAGAGAAATGCAAGTACTCAATTGCCATTGCTATTTGCAGTGCAATATCAACTCTGAAACTCCAAGTTAAACAACCCTTTTTATACAAATTCTTGTTTCCATGAAGATGGTCAGCAAGTGTACCATTTGGAACATAGTCATAAACCAAAAGTAGCCCTCTTGGATCACTACAATAGCCATGAAGTTTGACTAAATTTGGGTGGTTAATTGATGACAAAATCAAGATTTCATTACAGAATGACTTTGTTGAAAAAGCTTTAGCCCCAGCTGGAGAATGCTTATGCAAATGCTTAACAGCAACAAGCCTACCATCTTCAAGATTCCCTAAATACACAGAACCAAATCCACCATCCCCTAATTTCCTCTTAGGGTCAAAGTGATTTGTTGAGTTTTCAAGTTCTTCATAAGGGAAAACTGGTGGAAGTAAACTAGCAGACCTATGCCTTCTAAGGTAAATAATTGTAGGATCTTCTTCTGAACCTGAACCCTTTTGTCTTGAGCGAAAAATGAAGGTTCCAATTGAGAAAACAACTAAAAAACACACAAGTAGAAAGAGCATTGATAACATAACTACATGATTAGCACTTTTTTGTCTAATCAAAGGAGGTGAGTACCTAACTTGAGATAAAGGAAAACATAAAAATGGTTTCTTGGGGTGTGAAGAGTTGAATCCACAAGCACCATTATTAGCTCTACAAGTTTTGCAGCTAGAAAAGTAAGAATCTTGATCCTCATCATATTCTACTTCAATACCCATTTTCAAGAAATCATCAAGAAACCCAAGAATATCACTTTGGCATCTTTCATCAGAGTCAAAATGGTGTCTTGAACCACATTCATGTAGTAGTAAAAGTGGGTTCTTGATCAGCTTACATTGCATAGGACAGTGGCTGCAATTTGGGAGATTTGGTGGTGGACAAGGTTTTAAAGCAGAGAGCCTAGAACAAGAAGAATCAGAGACTTTAAATGGAGAACCAGAGAGTGAAATGGATCTTGAAAAAGAACAGTTGTTGAAGTCAGATTCTTGTGGAGAAAGGAGAAGAGTTGATGAATTAAGCTCATAATGGACCAAAGAGAAAGTGAAGTTATTGATTGAAATAATAGCATGTGAAGGTGAACATTGGATTTGAAAAGAAGGGTGACCACAACCAGGAGATGAAGAAAAAGGAAAAGTAGGAAAAGAAGTAAAAGGTGGGCATAAGATTTCAGCTTCAGTTGATGGTTTTGAGCAGATATGAGCTGCTGTTGTCTTATTGCTAACCAGAAAAAACAAGATAAGAAAGATAGACAAAAATGGTAAAAATGGCATTATGATGATGAACTCCTACTAGTACTAGGTACTGGAAGTCATTCAAATGAAAAATAACAAAGAAGAAGAAGAAGAAGAAGAAAAGATTGAATCTTGGGGGTAAAAGAAAGAGTGTTGAATCTATGATCTAGATTTGGGTTCAGATTCTTTATCTAGTAGTATTATCAGTGTGCATAGGATGTTGGACTTTTTTTTGTTAGTAGAGAAGTGGAGTGTGGGGGGACTCGAGGAAGAAAGAAAAGAGAGAGGGTCACGTGAAGATAATTTGGAAGAAGACAAAAAGCAGAAAAATAAATGATAAATTGTTTGGTCATTTAGCAAAGGAAACCATATAAGGGGCTTGGATTTCAAAAGAGAGATCTTGGAGGAAATTTTGTATGCAATTTTTTTTTTGAGAAGAATCAAGAAATGTCATTGACATAGAGTTGCAATGTGATACTCCCGGCTAAGCGATCTTTTAGCTTTTGACACATTTTTTAAAAAAATACTAATTTTTAGAAAAAGAAGATGTATTAACTAAATTATTCTTAATTAAAATTTATATATTATTATATAAATAAGGACAAGTTTTGAAAAAATAAAAATAATTTATTAATGATTATATAAAAAAATACTTATTTTGGATAAAAATAAAAATATCGTCATTAATTATGGATCGGGGAAAATAAATAGGATCCTTACACCTTTAGTTCTAAAATTTGAATTCAACTTTCGGGAAACAATTTATCTCTAATAGATTGCGAAGCTCAAGAGCAGCAACAATAATAACAAGCCCTTTGTATTAACACAAGTGAAGTGAAAAGAATAGTGCGTGCACAAATTTTAGTATTATCTTGTGAAATAAAAAGGCGCAATCACAACATTATTGGGAAGCTAGGACCAAGTATCGAAAATAGGAATGAAAAAAAAAGTGATAGATTTGTTATTTTACTACACAGGAATTCAATGTGAATCTGCTTTAGCATGGGAGTAAAGTCAGTAAAGAAAGGCTATATGAGGGAAAGAGGCCAAGACCTCGTAAACAATGAAAGTCTTCCTCTTTCCCTCCACTCAGCTCAAATTTTCAGACTCAATTCTCACGAGTTGTTACGGTATGTTATTTAAATATTTCGCTATTTTTTGTTATTCAATTTCTTAAAATGTTTATTAATATCGTACCTAATTAAATTCGGTATGGTTCGATTTTTTTTTTCGATTTTGTTTTATTCAGTTTGGTAACTTCGATTTATTCGGTTTCAATACTAATAAGTGCGTAGAGTCATAAACTATAATATTCTTAATTAAAGTACTCAAAAGTAAAAAACTAAAAACGTTTGTTGACAAAAAGTTTTGTCCAAAACTAACAAATATCAACCTAAAGAGAAAAAACTGCACATAAAGGAATAAATTTGATCATTAGAAATAATTGATAAACTTAGAGAATAAAAGAAAGTAAAATTTTAGTTTTTTTATATTTATGTTATAATTAATAATATGTATTTTGTGTAATATAATATATATTTCGGTATGATATCGGTATTTCGGTATTTCATTTTAAAATACCAAATACCATATCTAATACCATATTTTTTAAAATCTTAAACCAAATACCATACCGAATACCAAAATATCGAATACCAAATACCAAAAATTTCGATTTCGGTACAGTAATTCAATATTTACCAAATTATGCACGGCTAATTCTCACTGTCAGATTAATCAGCTCAAGGTTTCTTTTATTATTATCTACTTTCCTCTTTAAAAAGAATTATCAAAATTCATAAAGAGACACAGAACCACCAATTTATTTTTTTAGGTTGGAGAAAATGGCTAGTAGTTAATAATGATATTTGTCAATTAACCCCTTCATCTTTTACCTGTCAGGCGTTAAAAATTCTAAATTCAATTCTCAAGAAATAAAATATGTAGACATTTGGACAATATTTTGTTGAAATTAAACAAATTTTCCGAATAAATGTCAATTGAAGAAAAAAACTAAAGATTAGTTAGTGAAAACTATTGCCATTTCACTTGA